GGGGGGGGGGGGTCTGTGGCAGACAAGTACAAGAAGACACATTTTGGTACTTATCTTAAGAGGTCTAAAATGGGAGGATTGCTATGAGTTACAGAGCCGTGATGAGTTTTGTTGCCTATGCTCCTGGGGTCATGCCATGGGGGAGAGGCATTCGAGTGCCAGCTTCAACCACAGCGGAGGCTCAGAGGACACCGTTGTCTGGGAGTCTTGTTGGAATTAGTATAGCCTGAGGAAGAGGTTAATGATGAATACTGTCATGTCTTAGAAACAAGAAAGAAAGAGCATGTCACATGAACATGTACAGATTGGTGAGAGGAATACAGAAAAGAGAGCCTGTAGGTATTTCTTACAATTGACAGGGAGAGAAACTAAGGTCCGTGAGTGGAGACAGCTTAATGGCTGTGGTTTGCCAGGGACCCCACTTCTGGGGCATGTGGCTTTTAGCTCTGTAGCCCAGAAGCTGCTTTGTCAGTAGCTCAGAGGTGATCAGACTGTCCCCTCCCAAAACTGTTTGACCTTTTAGAAGTATGAATACCAGTTCTTTAATTTGTGGGGGATAAATCAGACTGCCAAGGGGGTGGGAAACTTGTGTGAATGGATTGGCAGATTTTCATCAGACAGGAGAGCTCTGTGCAGAAATCAAACTGAAAACACATCATGGCTTGACAAGGATGGACTTTTAAAGCAGCAGTTGAATGGGAAGACCTTAGTGACGGTGCCATGGAGCTTGATGCTCCCAGAGCCAGATATTTCCATCCGAAAACCACCTAAAGAGAGCCAGAAGCACCTCAGATATCTGTTACACTGGCGTTTCTCCTGCACAGTGTTTGACCTCCACCTTCTGAGCTCAGTGCTGACCGTCCTTCCCTACTCTGTTGACGTCATCATGATGGTGGTCACTTCTGGTTTTGCTCTCACCTCTTTGTCTCAATAGGAAAGAGCTTTAAGTGGTGTGTATAAGCAAGTTAAATAGTAGTTCTCTTTTACATAGACGTTGTCGATCTTTATCTTTGAGTGAATGATTAGTCAGTCTGTTAAATATTCCTACTTTGGAAGCTCTGAACTCTGCATGACTTTTATCTTTTAGAAGGATGCTTTTCCTTGGTATGACAGTAAAATTAATAAGCAAGACATCTGTGTGTGCTAAGGCATCAGCAGGTTCTCTAGAAGCCTAGCTAGGGCAAGACATAAACTCAGAGGGAGAACTGTTTTCCCTTTAAAAAAAAATGGAATCTACGTGGGAGGTAAGGTTCCTATTCTAATCACGATAACTTTACAAATGGAATCAGATAAGTTATTGCGCTTGGATCAATCAAGGATCATGAAATTGATCTTGGGGAGGGTGGCCAAGCATGCTGACAGGTAAGATATATTTTCATGTAAGAGCATACGTGGTGTGTGTTAACAAATCAGAATTGATTGACTTTGTTTTGTTGTTTGGGGCATTATTGTCCAAGGGACGGATTAATGAAAAATCAAAAATTATATTTCACTAGAGTTAATATAACTGGCTGTCAGTCCCATTTACAGATGTTGACATATGTTTTCAAATATGGTCAGTGGACAGGCTGGTTCTCTGAAAACTGGATCACATTCGAAGTATATTTATTTTATACTTTATAATTTTTTAATGAAATTTAATATTTATTTTATACTTTATAATTATTTTACACTTTGAGTCAAGGCTGTTCTTCGTGAAGGAAAACAGTCAGATGTTCGTGAGAAGATAACGTTCTTTGCATCGTAAACAGACACAACCCTTTTACCTTTAAAGCTGACTGGAGGTTCCTTGAGAAATTTGTTTCTTACCGGGAAGAAATGCTTCCGCGTGCAGACCCTTTGGGGCATTTGCTATCAATCTAAAGGCAGCTACAAGATGTGCTCACGTTCTAGCAGGAATCCTTTCATTCCTATTGAGCCACTCATTAAACCAGATGAGAATGCACTGCTTTGTTTCAGAGGGAATTCTAACCTCCTGGCTGGCGATTAAAGTCCTCGGTAAATGTTTGGCAGAGTCCGCCCAATAATCCCAGCCCCAGTGACCCCCCCTGGGGGGTGGGGGGGGAGGAGTAAGGTGTAAGAAAAGTAAACATGCACGGGAACAGCGAGCAGGTGCTTTTTCATGCTAAATGTGGTTCCCCACGTCTCCTCTGATTAGAGGTGTGCTCTGAACAAGCCGAGACGGGGCCATGCCGCGCAATGATCTCCCGCTGGTACTTTGATGTGACCGAAGGCAAGTGCGCCCCGTTCTTTTACGGCGGATGTGGCGGGAACCGAAACAACTTTGACACAGAGGAGTACTGCATGGCCGTGTGCGGCAGCGTCAGTAAGTGGACCTTCCCCGAGCCTGGCCACCTCTCGTCTTTTCTCGCCACTGACTCTGCTCTTCGTAACAGATTAGTTTTCCTGGTTCTTGGGAGTGGGTCTGTCGCTGCCACTAACCACGTTTCTGTCCACTTCTCTAATTGCCCGGCGTCTCCTCCCGTATGTTCGATCCCGAGCACCCATCTCCGTCTTTCTCTAATAAAGCATGGCCGCGGGTGTGTTCCCTTCCCAGCTGTGGTGCATCCGTCTTGCGGTCTCTAGGGACTTCTCTCGAGTGCCCCTCTTGAAGCCACGCCGGAGTCGCTGTGTTGTCTTCTCGACTGTCTGTGCAAACGGATACTTGTGTGTTTGTCTGTGCACATGCGTGTTCAGGTCTATGCATGTGCAGTACATGTGCAAGTAAGGTTTCCCGCCGGAAGCCTGGGGGGTGCAGCTTCGTTTGCACTGGCAAAAGGCGCACTGCTGTGATGAGCACCTTTAAGCTGTTTTGTAACGTGTGACTTTTATTGCGGCCGCAGAGAATGTGCTTGAATGGAGCATACGCACGTCGAATGCCAGAAGACAGAAAGGGCCCCAGGGGCCTCTCACACACGGACGCTTGCAGTATCAATGTTTCATGCCTTCTCTTGGAAATAGAAGAAAACTCTTCACTTAACATTAGAAACCTGGAAGGACAAAAGACTCAGGGAATATAATTTTCAAAGCCTTTTCTCTTGAACTTTCAGTTTTTCATAACGCTGGGGGAGAGAGACGCGGAGTGATAATGACTTAACTACGAGATGAAACTCTGTCCACAGAGGTGATACTCAGGAGGGAGTGAGCCAGACATACGGGACTTCTGTTCCTGTGAACAGCCTCCCAAGTTAAAGTCCCCATTTTATTTATTTACTATTGTTCGTGAGTAGGACATTTGAAGTACTCAAGGGAGATTTGCTCAACTTGATAAATTAAAGATTAAATTCATTAATTGTGCGTTTCTTTAAGAGACTCCTGCCTTTTCTCCCTTGTGCTTAGGCAGGTGACAGCTCCCACTTCCTGCCTGGGATTCCTAGGGATAGTATACATTGGTCTCCACTGCGATCCTAGGCTTAAGCTAAACAACAAAAGGACCTGCGCCATTAAGACCTTCTATTGTGAAGCCGAGCATCTAAGTGGAATCTAATGGAAAAGTTCCCACTGGTCTCCTGTATGAGGGATGACTCCATTTCTGTCATGTGTGAGAACAGGTGTAGGAATTGGTAACCCCAAGGGCCTCTTTCCTGGCCGCCATTGGATGATTGTGGCTTCTTGCAGCAAGGACTCCCTTCTTCAGTTTCAAACAAAGAAGTTAATTAGGTCAGGTAACCGGGAACACAATGGGGGATTCTGTTGCCTGCAGCCTCTTGAACAAAGAACTTTTGTTACAGAGATTCTAACTGGCTTAGCTGCTGAGGGAGATTTCTTGGCACATTTCCAAACTGTTTTCCTCTATTTCCCTGAGGTGGATTTATTTTTTGTAATATAAATTGTGTGTGTGTGCGCGCATGTAATAAGGGTTTTTGAAAATTATCGGCAGTGAGGAATTTGCCTCGAGTTGGAAATGATCCCCCCACCAAAACACGACAGCGGCCTATACGCTCGCAGTCTCCATTTGATCGGTCTGATTTGACTCAGGCTGGGAGCGAACAGTGGGCAACACAGGTCATTTGGAGCCTCTGGAGGTGCCCTGGATGGTACACCTTTTGCGGAAAGATTTGCAAAAGGCAGAGATTCCCAACGCAGGTGTAATGGATAAGCCAAGCCGTCCGTATTTAGTTCCAGGGTAAGGAGGCTATAGAATAGTTTATCAAGAAAACAAATGTGAGAGGCTTAAGGTCAGTCAGAAGGGTGGACAGATCTAAGGGGACAGTGAAGCTTCAACACGTGGCCCGAGATGAGAGCTGGAGGCTGCCCTACGAATGGGTGAAAGGCGTGGATCCTTGGGACCTTGGTGATGGTTGACACTAAGAAGGGACAATGGGAGCAGGAAATCCTCAGGATGTTACTTACAAGTGGTATTGGAGACAAAATACCCAGCACGCTGAGATATTATTCGGCAAATATATTTATGTTTACTTTGGTCCTGAGCTGGGGCCAAGCCTGAAGGTGTTTGTACAGTTTTGTTTTAGTTTTTAATCCAATGTTTGTGTTTTTGTTTTTCCCTTTGGTCAGTGGAATCATGTAAGTTTCAGCCACCATTCCCATGTTTCTATTTTTTGTTTTTAGTTATGTTCTCTTATTTTCTCCATAGTGTCCCAAAGCTTACTCAAGACTACCCAGGAACCTCTTCCCCAAGATGCTGTTAAACGTATGTTGTCGTTCACTGGAGGGGGTTGGGGGGAAGGAGGAGATAGTACAGTGCATGGCTGTATAACTCCAGCATCATCACTTTCTTTGCATGGTTCTGTTTCTTGAACACCTGTCTTTTCATAAAATGTGTATTTCCATTGCTTTGCTTGTAACTGTGTCCAGTTTTGCCAGACAACTTCAGATGCCAGGCTACGAGGATTGACTCAACTTCTATTTCTGATGAAAAATTTTTTTTCAGCTTCATGTCATTCTGCTACATACCGTACGTATAACATTACTGTGTTTTATTTGGCATCACTATTCTATTTCCTAAAGCTGTCAAGATGCCATAGCTTTACAAGAGGCCATGAATATAAGTGACTCGTTTCCCAGAAAAATACATCATATACATGCGTGGTGCTGACTCCACAGACCAGTGCGTATGCACGGGCTTCACTTATGTGTTGTAAGGCAGATGTTAAGCCTTAGGAAGTGAAAGACTACCTTTAGATTCCCTAACCACCTCTTCTTCCTCTCCCTGAATGCACCTTACTAGGGCAAAAGTGCCCGACCTCAGGTTTTATCATTAGGTTGTGGAAAGATTTTTCCAAAGAAATCATCATCCAACCTTAGAATGTCTGTGTTTTGTGATTGATTTCACTTGGTGTATCTGACTACCTTGGTTTTAAAATGTTAACACACAGGTATTTATTATTATTTTTTTAATGTTAGTTTTGAGAGAGAGACAGAGCGTGAGGAGGGGAGGGACAGAGAGAGGGAGACACAGAATCTGAAGCAGGCTCCAGGTTCAGAGCTGTCAGCACAGAGCCCAACATGGGGCTCGAACTCATGAGCCGTGAGATCATGACCTAAGCTGAAGTCAGACGCTAAACTGACTGAGCCACCCAGGAGCCCCCACAAGTACTTATATTAAAATGTGGATTATATCCATAAATAAATTTATCCTTCTTTAGGTTAAGGATGATACATGTGCACACACACACACATTATTGATGCTTATAGTTGCTAGAAAAAGAGACAATTTCAGCTCGCATTCATATATAATGAAAATGAGCATATATTTATATTATCCTTAAAAAACCTGGTCTCCAAATTGATGAAACCAATTACCTTTAAAAAAAAGGGATAGATAACAGTTGGAGAATTATGTAACTTATAATTTCATCATAGACCATTAAGGTTTTTTAATGGCCACCATGAGATTCACATTCATTCACTTTATATATAACTTTTGAAAGATGTGGGAGTTTCACTAGTATAGTCCACATATTTTTGTGATTGTGACAAAGCATTTTTTCTAACAACATTGAAAGTATTACAAGTGAGTAGACACACAGGACTGGAGAAAACTGGATATTACACTGTAGGATTGATAATATATTGATCTTTGTGGCAGGTTGCAATTTACCCGGTGTTTTCATGGATCATTTATTTTTCTCAGGAACACTTTGTGGGCATTTTCCTCATTTCCTTTATACATACGAGAAAATGAAGCTGTGAGAGCCATCAAACGTGGCAGGACCAGCTTTGAAACCTAAATGATATTGTGGCTCTGCACTTATACTCCATACGGTCAAGTATTGGGCTCTGTTTTTTACGTTAGAAAAATTAGTATTTGGAGTTCAAAATGCATTTTAAGAATACAGAAAATAACAGAAAGAGGAAGAATGTTAAAAAACATTTTTTCTAAATGCAGTAAATAAAGCATGCATCAACAAATGAAATATCTTCCCCCCTTTTATAAAAAATATTTCATTTCATAGCATGTTAGCATACAATTGTATTTTTCCATTTTTAGTAATTAACAGACATGAACATGACTTGATAAATTTATTTTCATGAAGTACCTCAGATTTTCCAAACAGACGTTGAAGATCTCTCGCAATTTTCTCTTTCCCAGTAATTTTCTCCGACTACTTGCAGTGTATTTGGGATCATGACACCTTTCCTTTCTAGGAGGGGAAGTGATTTTGGCGGCTATATTTTCTTGTCTACCTGCAGAGACTCTTCATCACAGCGAGTGAAGTGATCTGCAGTGCTGGTACAAACAGACTAGAGAAAGCATATAATTTCCAGTTATTCATAGCCTGCGCAGCTATGCTTCCTTATTTATAGCAAAGTTACACATCTGATTTAAAGGATTCACGGTCATCTGGAGGTCAAATGCAGATGGCAGGATGTAGTTGGAGGAAAAGAGCCCAAAAAGAAGGTGAGCAAGCCCATAGGATTTAGCAAGATGGGCTTGCACTTGGCTTCTCCACCAGTCTAGGCTTTATTGGAGGATCTCTCTTTTCCCCAGAGTGGTTTGTTTGATGGGTTTCTCAGTTTGAGTTGCTTCTAGCCAAATAAGAAATATGAAAGGAGATAGGAAAAGCTTCTCCGTTAAACTGATGTAACATCGCACACAAGGAGAAGATGTGTGATGGCCTACATTACACATACAATAATTTTCCTCTTCAAAGCGGATTATGATCAGGTTAAATCTTTGTCATAAAAACCACTTCTGAGCATTGCAATTTTAAAGAATATTGATTTTTTTATTATTATTATTTTGTTCATAGAAGATAAGACTCTAAACCACAGGTAGAGAGAGAGAGAGATGAGGCTAAGAGCTTTCATTTTTTTCATAAACTTGTGGATTTGAGTCCTTTATAGAAAAAATCCTTTCCTGTTTGAAAAAACTATCTGGTGAGACCTGAGTTGTTTCTGGCATTATTTTGTGTCTGCCCATTTGGGTTTAGAACAACACAGAAGGTTCACATTCATTCTGCCCAGTGCAATGTTTGCTAACAACAGTGAAAGTACTATATAAATATCTATTGATTAGTTTCTGTTTCAAATGAGAGAATAATTTTTTTTCTAGTGTTCTTCCCATCAGATTGTATCTCAAAAGGCAAACAGAATGACTCTTTAATGGCATTTGATGTCACACAGAGCATCGTGCCCGTATTTAGTCAGCTGATTGCACAAAAGGGTCTGGCCAAAGAGAATGACAAATGACCCATCTTTTCCTCTTTTCTTGCAGTGAGTTGTGGCACAGACAATAAATAAACCCAAGTCTCTCAACCTTGACACTGTTGACATTTGGGGCTAGATAATTCATTCTTGCGGATGCTCTCCTGTGCATGGAGGACGTTTAGCAGTATCCCCACCCTCTACCCGCTGGCTGCCAGTAACGGCACCCCAACTGTGTGAACTGAAACTGTCTCCAGACTTTGCCAGATTGCACCCTGAAGCAGGGACGGGCAAAGTCAGCCTCAGTTGAGAGCCCCTGATCTAGACTAACGGTGAGCCCACAGCCGACAGAAAGATACAACCAGACTGGTGCAAACAGTCACACTTTGCACGAACTCTGAGGGCATGTTGCTGCGTTGCCGGTCAGAAGCCTCCGATTCTCGGTTGACGTTTGTGAAAATTGAATCCGTTAGACCCGCATCCCTGCTCTCCGTATGTACAAGTTGGGGTAGAAGTCGCTGTTGCTGCCCTGACTATAGTCTTAGTTAGAGGTCTCAGTTTTTCTACTCTGACGTGAGTGCTGCTGGGGAGGCAGAGAACAGGCCAGCGAACCCCTGCCCCACCCCCTCCTCCTCTGTGTGTTTCATCTTCGTTTCACAGAATCCCAGCATATGCTAGAGAACAGCCATCTGTCATGATGCCGCACAGCCTTGCCACACAGATGACTTGGCATCTAGGATGCTCTTCGGGATCGTGGTTATGGCCTTAGGGTCTGTGCAAAGGCTGGATCTGGCCTCATGCAGGATCCAGAAAGGAAAAACATTATTTTTGTCCTCACATCAAAATGGCCAAGATACCATAGAATAGACTAATACACTGCCAGAGTGTATAAAAATAACAAGGACAAGGGTGCCTGGGTGGCTCCCTCTGCTGAGCATCTGACTCTTGGTTTTAGCTCAGGTCATGATCTCACGGTTCATGAGTTTGAGCCCCGCTTCAGGCTCTGCACTGACAGCGCAGAGCCCGTTTGGGATTCTGTCTCCCTCTCTCTCTGCCCCTTCCCTGCTCACACACGCATGTTCTCCCTAAATAAATAAATGGGATTCTCTCTCACTCTCTCTCTCTGCCCCTTCCCTGCTCACACACGCATGTTTTCTCTAAATAAATAAATGGGATTCTGTCTCCCTCTCTCTCTCTGCCCCTTCCCTGCTCACACACGCATGTTCTCTCTAAATAAATAAATGGGATTCTCTCTCCCTCTCTCTCTCTGCCCCTTCCCTGCTCACACACGCATGTTCTCTCTAAACAAACAAACAAACGAACTTCAAAAAAAAAATAATGAGGATGTCAAATCAGGCCAGATCACCACCCCAAGTTCTAAAGCTGCCACAGTGGCTCACAATTTGCAAACCACAGATAACTCACCGTGCACCCTTTGAATGGAATGTGCCTCCTTTGCCGCCGATTTGTCATATCCTGTCCTAACACCCAGGCATTCGGTGTTTGTCCAGACTTGAACCATTGTTCTTAATCACACTGTACGTGTTCTTCTGATGGCAACAAGCAAATATTAGTCCTCATTAGCACATTCTCGAATACTAATGGAACTGTGATATTTTTCTAAAACTGCCAAGCACTATTAACGACAATTAAAACCATTAAAACATCAGTGGCAGTAAAATCTATTAGATTGACACATGAGAAGCCACATCTTTGGTATTGAGAAATAACCAGAATAAAAAATGGCTTTTTCCTCCAAGCTATCAGAGGGAGAGATCCTGAGATTGACAGGAATTGATTTGCTCAGCAAACTGGCAT